ACCAACCCCAACGGCCCCAAAACCCCAACCCCCAAAACAAAAACCCCATAATCCCCACTACAAATCGCAATTCCCGCCGCAACAACCACAGGAACACCCGCACGATAAATCCAGCGTTTGAGATGATGATGATGATCTTCTTCCTCGTCCTCGTCCAGCAGATTTTTCGGTTTTTTTTTTGCGGCGCAGAAGAGTGAGGACGTGGGTGAAATTGTTGATGGCGATGGCCCAGAGGAGGAGTTGGAGGAGTTGTAGGAGGAGATTTTGGCGGTGGGCGAGTTCTGTCGTCATGATTATTGATTGGTTGGTTGGGTGGTTGAGTGGAGGAGGTGTACCTAGGGATTTGTTTTTGGAGGTTGTTGGAAATGGAAGTGTAAAGTTGAAAGTGCGTGCGGCTTTCCGGAAGTGCCAAGAAGAGTGTGAGTGAATGAAGTCTGTTTGCCAATTTCGTCATCGTTGCTAAAGATGGATTTTCTGTTTTTGTTCCAATGTTGACATCTTCAAGTGACATGTGCTCTGACATGTAGGTATTAAAATACTCCGCACCTCAATCCTTTGCGCCTTACCATAAACCCATTCAATGATAGTCTTTCTCAAGAAAACGGCCGCCACCCCACAGGATCTGGACCATCCCTCCCGGCACCCTCAGCTTCATCGACCGCCGGCCTCTTCGTGGCTTGTCTCATTTTCTGCTCCGCAAGCGCAAACATCTTCATTGTGTGGTCCCAAATTGTCTTGCCCAACCCGATGGCACGATACTTGCCCAAGACGCTCTCGTCGCCTGTAGTTTTCCCATCCCAGTCCAGCAAGTATGCACCACTACCAGGGACACCGTCTGTACCGCGCATCACATCCAAACCTTCTGGTATGGGAACACCAACGGAGCCTCGCTGAGATGGATAACATGCGCTCGTCATCTGAAACAAGTGCCGCTCTCCAGACTCTTGTACATTCAGAATCCAGGGCGTCATGACTGCATACATGACCTTGACCGCCAGTCTCACAACACCCGTGAGCTGATTAGCGATGCCAGTCTTGACGGTGCCGGGATAGCTGTGGCTGAAGGATGTTCCTGGATATCGCTTGGCCAACTCCTCAATCGCGAAATCACTCATCACAACGCAGTGAGCCATGCATGCGTGCAACGTGTGGTTGTGCTGCAAGTCCAGGTCGTCAATCCGAATGTCGCTCTCGGACCCGGCAGCCAGGACGGTGATGACCCGTGAAAGCTCGTTGGCTTCCGAGGCAGCGGTGAGAAGTGGCATGAGATTCAGGATGCAGCGGATTCGGGCGTAGTAGTTGACAGACATTTTGCGGTCGATGCCTTCCTCTGTCTCGGAGCGACCGCGCAGGGCCATGAAGCCTGCTGTGAGGAAGAGACAATTGATTTTGGTCTCTCGACGTCGAAGGTCTTCGCATAATTCATCGCAATTGCGCATGAGACTTATGTCCTTTTGTATGAATATCGCCTCGCCATTTGGATTGATGGTGCGCAGGGTGTTGTAGAGTGCGTTGCCTCGTTCTTCGTTCCTGGCGATGGTCAGTCATGAATTCATGGCTGTTGAAGGGGGAATTTCGAATAGTTACCTCCCGATAATATACGCTCTCGGCCGCGATGCTCGAATGAAAAGTTCTTTGGCCGTGCTCTCTCCAATCCCACCAGTACCTGACCGCGTGAGTCGTTAGCATGCAGTCGTGGTCATCAATCATCACATTGAACATACCGCCAATGAATACTGCCACATAATCTTCGAGCCCTTTTACCTGCTCATTCGACTCCCGCACCGTCTCGACGCGAATCATTTCCAAATTCGCGCCTGGTAGAGTGTAGGGATTAGGGTTGTTGGAGGTTCCGTCCGACATCTGTCACTGGGCTGTCAAACGACGGGTCGCTTCATCTCATCTCGGCAGTTGTGTGCCGATGACAATAGAGTGATATCACCTTTGACGCTGGAGTGGGCTAAGTTATCGATGGAGACTGGATTCGATGTTGAGATGCGTTGTCCCTGGATTCCCTTCAGTACAGTTATATATCCACTTTCCAGAAAGAACTGGGCATTTATTTGTACGACAAAATTGCCTCTCACGCATGGCGCAGGTATCGATGTATCATGTGTCGCACACTGCTTGTGAGAGATGGAACTTCTCGAGCTTTCCACGCCGCCAGTTGATGTTGATTTGCTGAATGAAGAGCAGGAGCCGAAGTATTGCAGTTGTCTCGGCTTCCAATCCAAGAAGCAAGTGCAAGGGGGGGGGCTATGGTTGGTCGCCGGCACTTTTCCCGTTTGCGGATGTGGGATGCTATTCTGGATGTGGATTCTGCTTCAGCTGCAGGGCTGCAGGTGGATTCTGGTCACAGGCAAAAGTCGAAACGCCCCCCCATGCCACGGGCTTGGTGAAAAAAGAGAAGGGTACCGTAGGTAGGGTAGCTTAGGGTAGGGTCTCGGGCAAATTGCCGGCGGATTTGCCGCGGCATGACGTAGCATTGGCTCGATTGTGCGTCCTGGGGATGAACAGCACGGCGGAACCTCCGAAGATCGGGCTGCAACTACATACCTACAGTACAAATAAATGGCTAGTTGATGTGTAAGTCGGAGGGCAGAGTGGAGACATATCGCCAGCTTATTCCTTCCTCTATGGTTGTCGTTCGCTCGGCTCGTCATGTCAAAGACAGCAGAATGAGATAGATGTTCGCCGAAGATGGGGCGGAAATTGCGCAGAAAGAACGACTTTTCAATAGCTGAGCACTTTACACAACTGTAGTTGTTGCCGACCATGAGGCATCAGACGAACAGAAGCTACCGTGCGACCAGTCGGAGAAGATCGCAGTACCGCAGCAGGATCAATCCAACCAGAAGCCGAAAACAATACCAAATTTAATCACCAGCCATGGCGCCCTCGAAAAAGGCATCAACCTCCTTGAAATCCGGTCGTCCCCCAACATCCAAGACAACACCCGCCTCAATATCATCCAAAGCCACACAAAAGCTCATCATAGCCTACCACGCCCTACAAAAGGACCTCACAAAAGCAAAAGCCACCAACGACCACTCCAAAGCCACCAACCTCCAATCCCAAATCGACGCGCTCGGAGGTCTAGAAGCCTACCAACGAGCCAGCATCCAAGGCCAATCCACCTCTCGCGGCGGCGACTCCTCTCTAGTCCTCATGACCTGGCTCAAACCCTACATCCCCGAGCTAAAAGCACTACAAGCGCCCTTCAAAGTACTAGAAGTCGGAGCCCTAAGCACCAAAAACGCAATTTCCACGCCCAAACTCTTCCACATCGAACGCATAGATCTCCACGCTCAAAGTCCAGGAATCTTACAACAGGACTTCATGCAACGACCCCTCCCCACCCACGAAGCCGAGAAATTCGACATGATCTCCCTATCGCTGGTCTTGAATTTCGTGCCAGATACCAAAGGAAGAGGAGAAATGCTTCGTCGCACCACTCAATTTCTTCGACGTCCATCTTCTCCTCCTCCTTCTTCTTCTTCATCCACCATGCAGGAAGACCTCGCAGCGACACTATTCCTAGTCCTGCCAGCGCCATGTATAGAGAATGCCCGCTACAACACCGAAGAAAGATTAACTCTCATCATGGCCAGTCTCGGATACTGTCTACTGCAAAGAAAACAGACGGCGAAATTGGTCTATTATCTCTGGCAATGGCGCGACGAAGCAGTGCTCACAGAGCAGAAATTCACAAAGCTGATGTTGAGGGATAAAGGTGGCATGAATAACTTTTGCATTGAGCTGGTGCAGGAGCAGCAACAACAACATACAGACGACAAATTTTCGCCTCTCAGAGAATTCTGAGACTACGAACTGAGGGATTACGTCAAGTTTCCAGTCAACGACATCGCAATTCTGGACTTGTAACAAGCTCAAAGTCGACAATTCCACTGCTGCCAAAGACGTGGAGCAGCGCTGCCTACCGAAATMAAGAATCGCAGCAAAACCAAGACAAGGTATCTTGCATGGATAAAGTGGCGAAGAGATAAGGGAGGCTCTCGGTATCCACCATGATTGTGCTCTGTCCTGGTGAATCATCAGCCAAGCTTGCTGGCCACGAAAGCATCAGGGATTCTCTCTCATCAATATGAAACACAAGAAGACCACTAACGACCTAGCGACTAGCGCAATATGTATGTATGTACACCCGCCGTTCCACAAGCAGACCTGTGCGTCCGAGAGAACGTCATGTCGCAGGTGTTCAGTCCGGCGGATTCAAGCACATCGAAGAATGGCGGTGGTGCTTTGGTGTAGCATAGAGAGAGAAACTCGCTTTCTCTCGAGAGAAGAGGAATCTACTGGGTCGTGAAAGAGGAGCAGATAGACCTACGTCGGTAAGGAAACACCTACCTTACTGTACCTCACAACACGTGCTGCCCCGCAATATTTTCAACGTTCTTGATACCATACTTGAAACTATTCTCTCCCACGCTTTCCTGGCGATCCGACCATCTACGCCCATGAACCGTTTCAATCCAGCCAGCCTCCCTGCCACTTCTCGTCCATCCATTAAGAGTAGCATAAGTACTTACATAAGGGATCAAGAACACAAACAAAAAAGCAACAACGCCGTTCGCAGCAAATGCAAGAATTTTGTTTGATTGTTGGTGGGGGTGTCGTAAAAGGAGCGTAACATCCGTTTCGAGTTTGCGCGGGGGTGTGATGTGATGTGATGTGTTGGTGTGCGAATCTATCCTTGGCGGAAGAGGGAAGAGAGACAACACGACATGTCCAACTCGCCACGCAGATGTGATTTTTTCGTGCAGAATGACTGGCTATCGCTCATTCAGAGATCAATGCTATGACTGCAGCAGTGCCTCATCAGATCTTGCTTCATAGAGCTTAGCTTTGCTTGCACTCGGCCGTCTCCTGCTTGGGTTTCGAGCCGTCCTCCTACTTGGCATTAGTCAATATTCTCCTTTTCGTGAAGAATCATCGCGGCATAGCTTACCTCGTCGTCTTCCTCGTCCTCCTCGTCGTCATCCCGCTCGTCATCATCATCCTCGTCGTCCTCGTCCTCGAAATCGTCCTCGTCAAAGTCACTCATGCCTTGTTCGAATTGAAGGGCCTCGCCGGTGAACCAGTCAATGGCGCGTGGGATGAGCTTCTCCTTGATGTCCTCGCCCAATTGGTAGTCGAGCTCGAGCTTCGCCTCAATGTCCTCGTCCATGTCCTCGTCGTCATCCTCTGGCGGTGAGGCGGGGTTGAAGAAGTCGAAGAATGATGGTGTGGGGATGGTCTTCTTGACGATACGGGTCTGCTYGGTGTCTGCTCAAGGGTTAGCCATGGACGGCGCCAGGATTTAAGTGGATATGCATACTCTTGTTGCGCTGCTTCTTGCTCTCGACCTTGACGGTGAGATCCTGACCGGCCTTCCAGTCAATCTTGTCGCCCTCGGCGTGGTCGTAGATAAAGTCACCACCGTAGCCGTTCTCTTCTTGGTAGAAGTAGGTCTTGGTGATGAGCTTGTTGGTGAAGAAGTCGTTGTCGGCGAATTCAAAGATGAGGCGGAAGCCCGGGCGGTCCAAGTACTCCATGCGGATGTCAATCAGGCTCTTGAGTGCCTCCTCGTCGCGGTCGGTGATGGTCTCGGCAAGAGAGGAGTTCTTCATGGCAGAGAGCCAGAACTCTGGGATTCCCTTGAGGTCGGCGGCGCCCTCGGCGTCCTTGTCTGCCTCGTCCTTGGTGGCTTCGGCCTCGTCATCTTCCTCATCGTCTTCCTCACCCGCCTCAATCTCGGCGGCGGTGGGCTCGGCGTGGCCATTGACAATCTTCGCGCGCTTCTCGTACAGTGGGGTGAATTTCTCGAAGAAGCGCTTCTCCAGCGCTAGAACCTCTTCCTGGAACTGCGCCTCGAGCTTGGAGTGTTCCTTCTGAACACCCTTGAGGCCGGCCACACGCTTTCGGACGGGTGCGGGCAGAGACTCGACGTAGCCCGATGACTGCCCTACGAGGCTGCTAAGCTTGTTCTGCATCATCGAGACGAGTCGAGGGTTCTGTGCGAAGATGGATGCCGCGGCGGCACGATCGAGGTCCTCTGTGTGTCGTCTTAGTAATGAGGTCTTTATTGTTCCATCCATCATGGTCCACGTCTGCCATGTTCATCTTCATGTTCGTGTTCATGGTATGCTCACTCACCCTCGTTGATGTTGCCCAAGCCGGGCGCGGTCGCGTGCGAAGAAATGGGCGCATTGTTGGCGGGCGTGTTCTGCGGCGTACTGGAAGCCATGTTGTCAGTTGATGCGAGCGATTGGTGGGGAGGATGCTGCTCACGGTGCAGTCTGGGCCTGCGCTCTCGAGCCTATGGGTTGAGACATGGTGGCGGTAGGCGGCGGCGGCGGTGGAGCAAAGCGGCGCGGTACGGCGAGGGAATGATCGACGGGCGGCTTGCAAYCAAGTCACCGAGAGGATATGTTTGTTGGGGACAGGGAAGTGCTGCGGGTGTGGAGAAATCAGAGGGGACAGCACGATGTTGGGCGAGCTGGTGAGGTTGAGTTGAGTTGAGAAAAGATCTCTTTGCTCAAACCGAAGAACTAGTAGAAGCACCCCCACATTCGGACAGGGTCCGCGGGTGCAGAGAAGGAACGACCGACTTCTTTCACGTGGACCTGAGGCACGAATTGTCTCAGTAACCAGCAGCATCCCAATCGCAACCGACAATACTTGACATCGCCAATCAATTAATCAATCAATCAACTGCACCACGTCACACCGCCACCATGGATCAGCTCAATGTATCTCCCGAGACCGCGCAGAGCCTTCAATCAATGTCTGCAAAGGACAAGCAGGGTAAGCTTTGTCGATACCCACCTTATGCCAGATGGCAAACGCCATCGATACTAATACTCCTTGTCCCTAGACCTGAATCAATTCATCCAGAACGAATCTCAGAAGGCGCAAATCCAATCAAGTATGCACCGTCACTTCCCACGTGTCAACGCATGCCGTACTAATATTCACCAGCAATCCACGGCCTCACCGACACCTGCTTTAAAAAATGCATCACCTCCAAGATCACCTCGGGCAATCTGGATCGTACCGAGGAACCATGCATGCGTAACTGCGTGGACCGATTCATGGATGCCAACCTGGCTGTGATTAAGAACCTGGAGAAGATGCGAACCATGGGATAGTATATCAATGAGTTGAGGCAGAGAGAGGCGACGACTGTACAGAATAGACCATAGTGCAGTGCATGCATCGCCGCATAGAGGAGCATTGTGTTCAGGACGCATCAGGCAAATGTACAGTAGGATAAGGGGCGGTGGATGTAACGTTATGGGGACAGACAATCACTGCAGGCGATGTGGAGAGAGTTCATAAGAGAAAGAGCAGCTCAATGATCATGATGAGCTGCATGGGTATCATGATGCGTGGAGATCGCGGCTTGATAGCATGGCGAATGTATAGTAGCTGTATACCACATTCCCCCTCGACACAGACGTGCCTGTCAAGTGATGTCCCGCAGAAGGCGAAGACTACCGCGGGAGAACTTCCTCGTGGCAGGTCATCCCGGCCTGCCTCCAGTCGGAGTGCATATTCCACCACCTTCCGTGAGCCAGTGGACTCATAACGCCGTTGACAAATGCARCAAAACCTCTCCACAACTTTTTCAACTGTCCAGCTTAAACAATGGCAAGCTTGGTGGCCGCAATGTCAAGAGCATCGACATCTGGGGTCAGGCGGGCAAAGGCCTTCTTGGAGCCATCCGGACTGTTCCTCAATTAGCACAAATCCTCCATGTCTCCCTTCCCATTCCCACTTCCACATACCGGATGAGGGTGTTGATCTTGATGGTGTCCACATCGTACAGCTTCTTCAAAGCCTCCTTGATCTGCCTCTTGTTGGACTTGACATCCACAATGAAGACGAGGGTGTTGTTCTCCTCAATCTTCTTCATGGCGCTCTCGGTGTTGAGCGGGTGGATGATGATCTTGCCGGCATCGAGGCGGGGCTGCGATGGGACCGACTTGCGGGGGTACTTGGGCGCACGCGAGAGCGTGAGGGTCTTTGGGAGGTGGAAAGACGTGCTCTTGCGGACCTTGTTGACCTTGTGCGAGTTGACCTGTTTCRATAGGCCGTCAGATGATGGGAGCTCTGACACGCCTCAAGTTCAGTGGCTGGTAAGAGGGCTGCTTACACCGCGCAGGGTCGCTTTCGCGGCTGCGTTGGCCTTGGTCGATGGCTTCGACGGCTTGCCCTTGCCTGTGCGCGTGGGTTAGTATGGGATGATGCAAAGMTGGGACATTTGGAGGGAGTGGAAAATGCGGTGCTGCGGCGCGCAAATCGTCTGTCGCATCGTTCCTGATATCCTCATCCTCGCTGGCTTCGCCCTTACCCTTGGTTGCTTCCTTTGGTGCCATTGTGTTAGTCGACGGGCGGAGTTGTGCTGCGTGCGTGAGGTCGGAAAGTCGGTTCGTGGAAAACTTCGAGGTTGCGGATGTGCGCATTTCAAGTTTCTGACTAAGCTAGTCTTGGCTGCAGATCGCTCCCTTCACCACTTCACTCTTCACCTCTGCCCGACTCTCCACTTCTGCATAGCGTCTCATCCATCTACGCCAAAAGAGTGGCAGCATGGTCACCGTACAATAATCCCAGATTCTCTGGTTGCCTTGGGTGCATTGGACATAATAAGATGCACCGCGTTCCGCACTTTCTCCATTCCATCTCCGTCTTTAGTCTCAAGACCTAGCAGCTACTAGGACCGGCGCTGCAAGTACGAGTATCAGCAACACTCATCACCCCTTTAACAAGAAATCACCGGAAACGCTAACCAGCGAGTCATCCTTCAAATTTGGCACGATTTCGACTAGGAGTGGGTGTCTATCAGTCCGCGGGACGTCTCGTACCGTGAGATACGTCTTGACCTTCTCGAGACCCGCAAAAAGTTGGAGAGACTTCGTAACGGTTTCCACTCTGCACCCCCAAGGCCGAAAGATCCACTATGCTAGGACTGCTCTGCGTGCATCACAAGGGGATGTGATGTTCTACTTGATTGGCAACAAGTGCAAGAAACCGTGGTAAAGATCCTCCCTTGTGCGACCTCACACCGGCTTCAGCCTCTCCATCCAAAGACAACACATCTTCATGCACACAGGATGCCATTATGTTCATCAACGATCAAAGCTGAAAGACTGTCCGTTACACCACAAAGCGTCGTACAATCTCGAGGTAAGGCTTAACAGAGTCTCGTCAAGTCAAAAGTCCAATCATGACGACGGCCCCGAATTTCGCATCCACCTCTTCACCACCAATAAAATGTTTCTTTCGAGGCAGTGTTCGCTTGTAAACATTATCTTCAGACTACTAGCTGCCAGCCCTTCTCAACAAATCATCAATAACTTTCCCCGCCCCCAAAACCTTCTCCTCTTCCAATCTCCGTCCAACAACCTGAATCCCAATCGGCAAACCATGCATCGCATCCGGATCATACAGAGACCAATTAAACCCATCAACCTCACTCCTCGGCTCATACAAGGAGAACCCAGGATCATCTTTCCCAACATCCACAAACTTGTCAACTTTCCCAGCAGGAAGTACCAAAGCAGTGTAATCCAGCAAATTCCAAACTTTGGTATAGCCCACCCACTTACAACTTCCATGTGGCACTGCAGGATGCGGCATGACCGGTGTAAGCAAAACATCGACTTTGGGAGGTCCAGCGCGATTCCATTTCTCCAGGTACTGTTTTTGTACTGCGCGCTTTTGGCGGTTGAGTGCCCAGTATTCATATACTGAGATTGCCGGTGCGCGTGAAACGAGAGCTTGGACGTGTGGGATGAAAGGTTCTCCACTAGCAGCTACGTCTCGTTTGATGTCTTCGCCACCGTCTGCTGTGTAGTATTTATCCTAGGAAGATATGAGTAAGGATGATGGAAGCTGGTCAAGGGAATGGATGATACACACCATGATATCAATAGCATCTTGATGACCGTCTGATGTCCATGGAACAATCACATGTCCTGCCTGCCGGAGCTTCTCTGCCACCTCCAAGAGTACTCTTTCAATAGGAGGATGGACCTTCACACATCCATCATCAACAAGCAAACCAACGACCAACGGCCGACTTTGGATCTCAAGATGGGAATCTTCACGCCACTCCAGAGGATGACAAGTCGGATCGTGTTCCCAAGGCCGAGCACCGATGACCAGCTTCGTCACTTTCTCGATGGAAGCCAACGATCTCGCCATTGGACCCACCACTGATGGCACGTGCTCTTGACCTGCCGTAGAGACTTGGCAACCTTCATAAGGTAGTCTGCCACTCTGTCGTAAGTCAGAAATTATCATCACGCCATCGGGATCCTTTTGCTCACTTACACTAGGCTTAAGTGAATACAGTCCATTCATATGAGCGGGAATCCGCACGCTGCCGCCGATATCAGTTCCCCAGCCTACAAGAGAGCCATATTCTGCAAGCAAAGCCCCCTCGCCGCCCGTCGAACCACCCGGTGTCAGATTAGGATCCAGGGGATGTGTTGTGAGACCCCACAAGTTATTGAAACTCTCACACCACATAATACTTCTAGAAACACATTGGATAAGTATAACCCCCAAAAAGCAAAAGACCAGTCTTTCCAGAACTTACTGAGGAAGATTACTTTTGGCGATAATAAGACAGCCCAGAACGCGTAGAATATCAACCAGAAGACTGTTTTGTGTCGCCGGACGTAACGCTCTGCCCACATAACCAATGGTAGTGTCAAAAGATTGTACGTCGAACTGATCTTTGAGGGTCATGACTACCCCATGCAGAGGTCCAACAGTCTTTCCATGTTTGGATAGGTACTCGTCAAGCTCATTCGCACGTCGGAGGGCGTCATCGAAAAGTATCTCTGTCAGGCAGTTCGTCTTCAAAATTCGTCAGTACAGATCTGATGTTCGAACATCGAATTCCGATCCAACCTTTTCATGAGCATGCACAGCTCTGTGGACGTAGCGTTAGAAAAAGCTCACAAAGAGATCAAATTTGCCGTTCGGGGCTTACTTCTGAATATACGCCAGGGCGACATCCCGTGCGGTTAGTTCGCTTTTGGCAATTCGCTCGGCAAGGGAATCAACATCGTTTATGCTCACGATGTTACCACCCGTGATCTCGCTACCGGCGTATGGTTCGATCAGCTGGTTGCGAATCTCTCGTTTCTTGTCCACAATGGTCTGCCATGGCGGCCGTTCTGACCCTAACGATTCCATACTTGCGTGAGGGATCGAAGTGTATCCCTTCTCTACCCGCCTGGTATGTCTGTCTATATGGCAATGATCGAACCTGGCCGAATCGGCGGCGGCCAAGCAAGGATGGGCAGAAGTGGGGTCGGGAGGGATAAGTTGCCGCCTTAGTCAGTATTCTCCATAGATCAATGGCTGAAAACCGGACGCTACCGAGTAAGAAGGGACCACCAGAGCAGACGGGAGAATCGTCTGGTGGTGCCTCACCTCTCCGAGGTCATTTGGAAGATATTCCTCCGACATCGGCCCGGTTAGAAAAGAAAGACCTTATCTGCGATCTTTTGTGAAGGCCTGTTAGTTTCACATATCTGTGGTCAGGGTGGCGGACGGTCTTACGTCGTGAAACATTTCCCACCAGTTTGCGTCCATGTCATGCTTCTGCCATGTAGTTCGAAGATAGTCCGCCATGATCACCATGTTCCCAAACGAGAGATACGAAAGAGATGGAGACAGCGCCTCTCGCACGATTTGACGATCGTGTGCGGTGATGCTATGAGCACCGATAACCAGCATGGGCAATACCACGCAATGCTAAAAGATCCACTGTCAACGCAATTCTCCATGCAGGCAAAAGTGTGATTCTTCTGAATATCTCAAGCTCCAGGGAGCTACAAAGCATTTCCTCTTTTCATCGCATGAAGAACGTCGTCTGGAAGCTGATTTATACGTACATTCATCATGCCAGGAAGTACTTCTTTGAAGAGCGTTACTCCACGGCGAAMAAGAGTCTGTATGACTTCATCTTGAATAGCCCGCTTCCGCACTACCCGTTGGAAGAAGATGGAGCATGATAGGACGTAGAAGTCACAAAAGTGTTTCCAATCAGCCTGGTCACAAGTGGTAGGGACTAGAAGCAAAGCTTCCACGGAGTCGAGACCATCGTCCGTAACCAGTAGTAGGTCCCCGCCACTTTTGAAGGCATGTCCGAGGATGGCTACCTGCGAGTGGGCCTCAAGAATGACCAAAAATGCATCGTTACTTTGTCGTCTGCCCCACCAGGCCTGTTTGTCGGCGAACCTGGACCAGATTGTGGGTTCAAAGTAGGGTTTACTGCCGGAGAGAATCGCGTGGATCAGATCCATCGTGGTGAATACGGATAGCAGATGCGATTGGAAACTGTTCTCCGTGAGCATATCGGATACCGTATTGGGCCATCGTTCGAGCATTGCATAACCTCCTTTCAGATGGAACATGGAAGCGTTTAGATCTCTTTCGGGCGCAATCATGCCGTCGAGCACACAGAACAAGACATTTATGCAGAACAGGTCCTGGGCAATGGTGTCTGACCCTTGTTCAAGCCTCCTGCGAAAACTGTTAATCGCGGCCAGTCGGGCCGTGTTTCGGACCATTACGTTGCCACCCAGATTGGATTTCGACAGGAAAGAGTGATGGGCTCGGGCTACCGCAAGTATTGCCTGCTGAAGTGGTTTGTCTTTATTGGCGACGTGGCGTTCTACCTGCAGGCGATGATGAATACGTTAGCAGTGTCTCGAACATGCAAATCAAGGTTTCGGGACGTTCTCTCCAAGAACTCGACATTATCACACTTGGGGGCGCCTTCATTGATTGTGTGACCCGGTCGTTAAGCAGACTTCCTTCTCCCTCTCACAGTACTTACAGGAATATGTTCGTCAATAACCTGAAAGCGAGGCAGCACCGCAACGCTAAAGTACTCAAACAGCGAAGAAGTTTCCAGCGGCGTAAGCCCCGGCGTAGGAGGAAGCGAGACAGGAAAATTCCGCCTCGCAACTAAACTCGTAGAGCTGAAAGTCTCCGAAGACGAGGAAGAGGAGGGTGGTGAAGCAAGCGTGCAGACCCCTTCGACTCGTTGTTGGTGGGGGGCATAGCGCCCTCTGACAGCCATTCCTCCAATCCACTTGAGAGGCGGCGCTCCGTACGAGCATTCCTGTTCACTGCTCTCCTGGCATTTGGTACAAGAGGGTTTCGTCAGATCACATCGAATCCTTCGCTTCTTGCATTGCCAACATGAGCCTAGCGTACCTGTCAGCATTTCTGTTCAATCAAGTCAAAGGCGAACGAACAACATTACATACCCTCCGATATCCGAGTGCGTTTCATGGTCGTCATAGTCCATGGTCGCCGATACTGTTGCTCCCGATTGTCGCATGTAATGCTTATTGCCTGTCTACTGTCCAATCGATATTCATGATGTTTATTAGCTGACGATGATGTTTGTTTTGCTGAAGGTGGAGAAAGATTCACGCTGTTTTTGAAGCGAGACTTCAAAGAAGACTAGCTGGGGGCGAGAGAAAGCTTAATGATCCCGGGGGAGCACCTTATCGATCATTTAACCCTCACATCACGAAATCGAGATACCCAATGCGGGCACGGAGCACGTTATTGCGCCCAGGGAAGACAACCAGCAAATGCTACAAGGTACAGTACTCCGTACAGCTCTATCAATCAATCACAAAACTAAAGTTTATGAAATGCGAGGCTGGACCGCACTTCTCACATGCGCATCGTTCAAAATCCCCACACATCTGCCGAGTGGAAGCAAGGCTACCGCTGCAAGGCATATACTCGACAGCAACGGTGGCCTGGTATGCCTTGACATCCGATGAAGCTTTGTGAAGTTTTCATAAAATTAACTCTTCGCGAAATCGCGCTGCCCGCTCCGAAGGGAAATGTGGAGGTTTCGATCGAGAAAAAACACCCACACGCTATTTTACCCCAGTCTACAGGGGATGAAGTTGGCCCGGCACATTTAATGCCGAAACTTCCCAGGTCCCCCCCCCCCCTGGTCTGCCGTACGCCATCGCCGTCTCACCCATGCTGGACATTGGCGGTTGTCAAAGCCTCCAATACCTTGGTGAGGTCTCTTGGTCTAACGGGCTTCGACAGAAATATATCGATTCCGCTTGCGTAAGCAGTCTGCTGCGACGAGTTTGAGCCCTACGCCGTCGAGAAGGATCAGTGCCGTATCACGAAGAGTTTCTGCTCATCACAACTTACCAAACCAGTCACAGCGACTATTACGCATGGATTGGTGATGCCGGCCGCGTTCTCAAAGCTCCTGATACGCCGCGCGGATTCGAATCCATTCATCAACTACAGACAGGAGGTTAGCCATGGCGAAGAACACATTGACCGCTCCGGCAGATCTTGATCTCAGTAGCGCACTCACCGGCATGTTGATATCCATGAAGATCACGTCAGGCTTCCTGACGCTCTGATGAGTAGCGGCAGACTCATAGGCCTGCAACGCCTCAAGGCCATTGGTAGCGGTACATCGTGGGTGCTTGTGTTTGTCGGCATAAGTTGTCAGCAATCGAAGGTTTATGCGCTGTGTATCTGTTAGCTTGGAAAGGCAAGCGGACTCGGGAAGCCCTACGTTATCATCTACGAGCAACAGAGACAGCTTCTCGGGAGGCTCGCCCAGTAGTGTAGCAATCGGCTTGTCCACAGTATGAGTTGCCTCTGCAAGTTCAATGGCGTCCTTGACAACTTGTGCGCGACCATTGAGATATGGTGTATCTGGGATATCTAAGGAAGCGGACCTTTCTGGAGTTCGCGATTGCGGCCTGCGATCTAATTCCAACGCCGACGTTTTGGACGGGGAAGGCCAAGACAGTGGCGGAGCTGACCCTGCACGGGCTAGAGGAGGGCGCATAGGGATAGGGGCGCAGAGAGTGAGATCCGTATTCGAGCGATGCGAAAGCTGTAGCTTAAGAGCTCCGGCTTTTTTCTGCGACTCWCTTCCCCGCGGCAGGGACTTGGGGTTGGATTCGAGGCACCTCGCAAGTGCTGCAGCAAGCTGCTGCGGACCGAAAGGCTGCGCTATATATTCCATTCGTCTCTGCCTCATTTTGGTGGTCGATGAACTACGTATATGTGCCGTAGACATGACGTTGTCGCAGAGAACAATGATCGGCGTTGTGAGCTCAGAGTGCGTGGGGTGCACATTGAAGCACGGCAGATCAGCCTCAAGGATAAAGTTGATGTCCGTGGTCTCCGGCTCTTGGACACTCGCGCCCAGTCGACAACAAGCTGCAGATACTGCCCTGACTTGCAGATTGCGTTTGTTCACAGCGTCYTCTTTCCCGTCCTCATATTTGAGGAAGCCGATCTTTGCCCCGTGGATCGTAGAGAAGAAGGGCGGGGCCATGTGCTCGGTCTGCTGCACAACATCGATGGGCATGCAGACGGTCATGGTCGTCCCAGAGCCTTTGGCGCTTTGTACTTTGATCCTCGCATTGAAGCCGCGGACGAGCTTTGCAACAAGACTCATGCCCAGGCCAGTTCCATTGGCTAGTTCATTTTCCTGTGAGAATGCTCGAAACAGACGATTCTCGAGGAACTCCCGCGACATTCCAATTCCAGTGTCGCTGACAGTCAAAATGACCAGTGGTCGACGTCTTTTGTGCTGAGATGTCTTCAGGGAGATCATGACGTGACCCTCGATGGTGTATTTGAGAGCATTGCCGATGATGTTAATACAAAGGCGTTTCCACGCGCCCACCGCGAGGTTACATTTCAGCGTTGGATCCATTGAAATGTCCAGTATCAGATCGACCTTTTTCCCTGTGCGCTCGTCCATTCGGTAGCAGTGAGAGAAGAATGTCGAGTCGGCTACTTCTTCGGTGACTCTCGCAAGAGAGACAACTTCGGTCGAGCTGGTTGCTCCCGATGAGAGCGTAGCATCAGAGAACGAACGGGTATGACGAGGAGTTCCGTCTCGATCGGTTCGCCTGAGTCTTTTGCCCAGATGATTCCTCCAAAGTGGTGAGCAGCTACAGCGCAACGGATGAGGACGCCGACTCACAGTTTTGCAAAGTCAAGAAGATGGTCTATCACATCCAAAAGATTCGTTGAGCACTTTTCTATCTGCGCAATCCTGCAAACGAATCAGCGATGTCTGGAGCGATATAGACATGGGTCATGGCCGGGCGTAGCTCGCGAAACATCCTCGGACCACGCTGTAAGCCATCTGCCCTTCAGTGTCTCACATTGACCTGGAGAGACGGTCAGTACAAGTGCTCGGCTATGGGGGACTTGCGTCAAAGTACCAATCTAGAACTGCTTGCTCCTGTTCAGAGTCAGCGAATGTATGTGAGTGAAARAGGTTGAAGCCGCATTTACCTGCAGGAAGTCGATGCTGCCCAAGATGCCATGTAATGGTGAACGTAGTTCGTGGCTGACGGAGGAAATGAAATCACTTTTCGCTTGATCCTTCATGCTTGCCTCCAATCGGCCTACCTTGGCCATGACCACGTCACAAAACGCCATCATGTAGCTCAGCTCGCTTGAAAATTGCCGGATTGGGGAGTATGTCCATATGATTGCTCCAGCATAATGTCTTTCACGAACATTGTCCCTTCAATTCCCATGAGTACGAATGCAGGGTAGGAGGGGCTTGTAGTCATTGAACTAACCACATACTGACCAGACAGATCGTCCTCACCCCTGGAAAAACTGTTTGGATTTTCCTGGCCTCCCTTTTTGGAATATAAGCATTGTATCCTGAAGGGAATGCTCTCAACGGCACTTACCACAGTTTGCGATTTCGTCGCGTCCGACTCGAAACAATCGACGTGTTAACGTCATCTGTGTCGGTCGAGGATACCATGTGATTCTCCTCTGACGACATGGAGCCATCCGGATCGAACGACCAAAGTGCTCCTTTGGGATAATGGCGGAGGAGACTTTTGAGAATCTTTTCGGGTACGGGATGGCCATGGCCAGGCGAGCTATCACCATCAGTCGTCGAGCCACCTCTTCGCGAAGATCCCAGAATCCTGCAGTCTGCGTGTAAAGTTTTGTCGTGTGCCTCGTCAGAAGCGTAATCGCCCTCTGTGCTGCTGCTTATTTCTTTCTCAATCTCACTGTCACTCCAACATTGGCGGCCTGTGATGGCGCCACCATAGCTATGAACCGCAGCGTCCAGAAACATGACACCATCAGCGTCGACAGAATCTCGCAACAGAGCCGCAGCTCTTTCAAAGGTCTCGCCGACCCCGCCGTCAGGCTCGTTATCTTGCTCAAGACAGACCTGCGGATGTGTGCTCGAAATTGGAGATACCGGGCCGTACGTCGGTTTCATATGTTCTTTGGAGGCTGGCGTGGCCTTCGATTTAGTGCCACCCAAGTAGCCATTTGCCCCAGCGGCATCAATCGTGGCAGAGTAGAAGCCTTTTTTGTTCAACTCTACGGGACTTGGGATATTCGTGCGTCGTTGAGACCGAGCTTGTCCAGCTTTACCGTCGGGAGTCTCCTTGACAAAAGTTCTAGGCGTTCATAAGTACATATTTCCTCCATCCTTATGGTTGAGCTGTCTACGTACCCAAGACCGGTGAGCATACGGGTGCCAGTACCTAACTGCAAGGTGTCAGCGCTGGCAAATCACGATTACAAGTTCTCCGATGTAGCTTCTTACCTCGGTCCTCATCCGCAGCGATTCTAGGTGTGCCCTACATGATGATAAATTAGCAATCCCCGTGAAGCTTTATATTCTCAGCACTGACATGATGGTTTCACTCATGTCTAGCATGAACTTTACATGCGTATCACTGAGCCCCTTTCGAGGTCTTTCATCAAGTACGCAGTATGCGCCTATCCTCAGTCCATTCGGCGTAGTGATTGGGACACCAGCATAAAACCGTGCCTTTGGCCCGTCAAGCACATAAGGACGGTCGCAGAAACGGATATCATCGGTGAGGTCATTGATGATGTGTATCTGCGCGGCGTTGTCGTGGAACTGATTCGAGCCCTTGTTCGCGCTGGGGATATTGACCGTGTGCTCACAAACACTGAGCCCTCTGGGTATCATCGTGTGTCTAACGTTGGGAAAGTCAGCGTACAAGATCGGTCTGAATTGAGACACAGGCTTCGAGATGTGCTCTGAGCTAGACAACCTCGATTCTGACATACCCGAGCCACAGGCCATCTTCAACGTCGTGGCTGTGGTCGTCCAGGAGTGACAGAGTTCTTGTCGCCTCTGCAACTATGTATGCATAGGCCTGATCAAAGAAGAAGAGGAGACACCTCCTGGTCCCACATCTCAGAGCTCCCAGTTGACAAAAAGCCGTAAGAGCCGTGTCAGGGCTGGAGATGGGCTCATGCCTCTGAACGGCATCCGGGTCAAAGAGATTTGTCCATGGAGTATCACAGTTGGTGAGCGATCGAACGGCATCATAGTATTTGTAAAACTCGTGCTCGCGTTGTCTTTCGTCCTGGAAGCCGTCCTCCGAGCCTGCTCGTACAGGCATCATGAAGGTCGATTCCATCTTCCAAAAAACAGCTGGTCCTCGCAATAGCAATGATGGAAGTCAGCAGCAGTGGGTGAAGTCAGTAGTTATGTCGCTTCTCGGCAAGGTGCTGTGCACGGCCTTGCTCGTCCAAGTGGCCGCGGAGATGCGGATGCAGAAATCCGCAATGGGACTTTTTTTTGTTAAGTATGTCATGCACGATGGCGTGTGTCCTCGCATAGCATATACTGTACACAGCTGTGCAGCTAGGGATCAGCGTAGATATGCCCCACAATCTGCAGGGCTGCATCTATAGACTTTGTAATTATTGAGTCTGGTGCCCGGCATCGTAAGCTTGCAGACTTCAACAGTTGTAGTCGCACGCCAGGGAGGGCGTGCGACCTCGTGCCACGAAGGCTGGTCGCCCGCCATCACATTGGGGACTCGCTTGGTGTACATGACGAGTAGCGCAATGCTGCAAATTAAAGTAGCATTGGACTGTCCTGTACGATTGTCAGTCTGCTCGACACAGCATCTGTAATTGCTGGCGCGACGCATGTCAAGATTTCAGCAACCCCGGAATTCCCTGCCACATGCTGGGCGGGCTTCTTGTATAGACGTGGAACAGACGTGTCGACCCTGGCGTCCGGCCTCGGGGGCATGGCAAGGCAAAACCCGGTTCCTGTGGCAGGCAACAGACCAACAAAGAAAGATGGTGACAGGGTCTTGTAAATGTTTGGATCGCCATTCGTGCTCAAATGATAAATGTTCGTGGTGAGACCTGAAGGGGTCTGGATGCACGACCTGTGAATGCCATCACCCCACTTCAAAGACGCTGCCATTCGTCAGTCGTGCTGTGGGTGGGCTGAGGAAGGCTGACCCGACGAGCTGGACAAGATATCCCAAACCCGAGCGTGGCCAGCAGTGCCTGAAGGCAACCGAGCATCACCGATAGTCTCATGATCATATTGCAATGCCTATCACAGCGAGTGATTTTATGCGCAGTTATGTGATGGTTCCATATTGAGAATTGCATGCGCTCGCTCGGCTGTAACGCCGTCGCTTGTGTACCGTTGGTAAGGCTTGCTGGTCTCACCCGTTGCGCTGGAATTCGACCACACATGTCAAATGTGATATCCCAAGCAACTGGCTCTTGGAACCTATCAATTGATCTGCCCGGTTATCATTTCGAACTCAGTACGGCCGAGGATACTTGCCTACCTTGACACCACTCTGCAGCTTCTCGTGCGAAGATCCGCAACAACGACCGTCGCCCAACACCATCGATGGCGTCGACACTGCTGCAAAGGAGGACGTAGGCGTGAACTCGATTTCCTGCTTGGGCATGATGGGTTGATGACACAACGATAAGTTACGGACTGGCAGCGTTTTAGAGTTCGATGCAAGGGGATAAATTTCGGCAATCTAGCCTGTCTCTTACGATGCTGACTCGCGTAACATCTATAAGGTAGAAGTCGTATTTGATGGAAGTTGTTAGCGCTGTGTCTAATTTGCAGCCTAATTACTACGTGAGGTTTCGCCAAATCAATTAAGGCGCTAACGACTTCCATCAAATACGACTTCTACCTTGTAGATGTTGGGCTCTCCGCTCGACGACACGTTGGCCGGCACAGAACACCGCTTCTACCCATCCCAAATGACAACATTACGAGACGTCTCTGCGATCCAGGTCAATAGACATCCGGCAGGTACATTCAACTCCTCAATCAACGAGTCTATAGGTCGGAGAAGGACTTCGCCCTTCTCTGCCGCTTCACATGAAGGGCCATCCGGCTTCGGCAGACTGAAATTTGCAGCTTGCTCATAGAATGAAAACGCGAAATCCCCTTCTTCCATCCAACCTTCTCACCGCCATCCACAGTCGATTTCCTCATCGAAGGTGGAAGAGGTCTCCATTTCTCTCTGAACTCGGCGATGAAACGGGTGAATTCTTGTTTGTTGACTTTTTTGGGCGACTTCACCGTAGCGGTGGATGACTTCTGGGATTGATGGAGGAGGAGAGGTAGAATCTATGGTCCAGTCGCATGTACAATATCATAGTAGCAGGAATTTCGAGTGCAGTCTTCTAATGTGCTTGCCATGTTTTCTTTTGCCAAGCCTGGACTGAAATATGAGGCGGGTCTAGGAAAGGCTCGAACAGTCAATACTTACAATCAATGAAGCTATTCATACCATAGGGTTTGGCTCTTTATCTTTATGTTAGAGTAGAAGTTGTGTCGATGGCTCGGATAGAAGAATAATGAAGCTGTAGCCTTCAATCGATAGCGTGATTCAGTGACCCTGATAAGGCGAGCGGTGTGCGTCCGACCATCTTAGACATTTCCGGGTAGCATTGAAATATTAGGTCGAAAGAACGGTGGGGAGACGAATGGGCTGAGACCTCCTCAACGCGGCGGAGCAGGTACAAGAGGCCGAGGACGATGAATGCCATCCATGGGCTTAATGTGCCATGGCCGGTACCGCCGAAGAGTCGACATGTGTCTAGCAGGCCATCAAGCAGACGAGATCAAGTTTGCTTACGTTGCTACTTGAAAAAGACTACTAGTTCATTTTGGTATTTCTAGTGGAAACCCCTTGGCGTTAGTACAGAACGTCTTTACATACTGTGGCTTGCCCTCCTTTCGATCTAGCAACGTTCCCGCTTCCTCGTAGGCTTTGGGAGGGGAATCATGCTGTCTAGCCTCCAAGCCTTGCAGCAGGTAAGTGACCGTCCACTTTGTCGAGGCGCTGAGAATTTTCTAGTCGGAACATCCTAATCGCAACAAATGGTTCAGCGGACCCGTTGTAAGCAAACCGCTCTACCAACAAAAAGCTAACAACCTTCCAAAATTTGGCCGCCGGACAGGTCGGCTTTATCAGCGACGCAGACATTGGCGTACGARATGTAGAGAACGGTGAAGACGATGCGGTACGTTGAACCCCTATTCCCATCTCCTTCACGCGGAATGCATGGTCACTAATCTATACACCTCAAAGTACTCCATCGGCAAAGTGGCCTCGACTGTCAGGAACTTCAATTTCTACACGCAACAGGCCATCGACACAATGGCGAACAGCAAAGCCCCGACTCCCTCATGCGAGAAGGCAATCATAGTATACCAGAAGACCGGAAAGGCTATATCATCCCAAGCAACTGCTCTGACAAAAATTGCTTGCGCTCCCACCCTTCCGGACAACGTACGATCGGAGATTGCTAGCGGCGCTGAAAAGGCGCCGAGACTTTATGCTCGAGTCGGTACTTTGCTCGCTGAGCATTGCCCAGCTCGGGTAAGTGCTATTACTGCTGGTGGTCTCTATGTGGAGCAAGCGTTCGCGCCAATCGCGGAGGCGTTCTCGGAATCTTGTGATCGTATAGGTATTCTCGGAATCTTGTGATGTATGAAGAGCCTTTTGACAGTGTTTGGAAAATGGATCACAGTATGATCATTAATCATGTGCAGCTGCACGAAATTAAAGCAGACAGAATTCTGTAAATGCCCTTATTAATTGCACGTATGACCACATGTGCATGGAAGCAAACTCCCCTGATGAGGCAACAAATATGTGTCTTCATCGTCTCCAGGTGGTACCAACGTCGACGACGCTTGACCATCGTTCAGCTTTCTGGGTCAACATGAGTAACTTAACCGGGTCGTGTAGTCTGCCGACCATCTAGACAACTCTGATAATCTGCTTCTCTTCCCGCATCAACCATATCGAACCCACCGCGTGCTTTTCGAAAGCTTCGAGACGAGGCTTTCCTGCAGCCTTTGACTCCTCGATCTCTGTCCTTCCTTCTTCGTGGTAAAAATCATCAAAACTTTCAATGTAGCCAAATTTCTCCGGTAAACATCTTGGTACGCGGTGGGCTGTACGAGCTCCAGCACCAGGCCCACCCATTTATGTTCGTTCTCCGCTTAGAGAGTCTCGTCCAACAGACGGGAATCGGATTGGAATAAAAGGACGGCACACTCCCGGTCCAAGTACTCCTTGCCTTTCCATCTTTCTCATGAATGCAATCAGCTTTGTAGTCTTTGCAGGCTGATCAAGAACACGAAGGTGGAGATTAGACCGAAGGCTGACCGAGTGCTGTAGAACTTCAAAGGGTTATATTGATTCAAGATCGTGACTGAGCACATTCGACCATAGATGTATGAAAAAAAGTGCAGATCGGCGATGTACCATAATGAGGTGTTTCTTCTCAACAAAATAGATGTATATAACAACAGAATATAGTTGAAGCCAGGCATATTTGTTGTGATTCTAGCACGTGATCCACAGATGACTAAGGATTAGACGATATAGCCGCATCTTAGATGCAGAGTTTTTACCTATATACTAATTAGTATTATCTGCGTACTTCACCTTAATTTAGTAACAGCTTTATAACAGGTTATAAGCCCGGCGCTACTGCGATCCTGTCCTTACTAAGAAGTTATTAGCATTAATAATATTAACCCTATGCTTACTATTTTAATAGGGGAATCCTAGCGAGCTAAAAGAAGAGCTAGGATTAAAATATAATAGAGCTAGTTAAGACAGCTAAGGAGAATTAGGTGCTTAGGAAAGGTACTAACTTCTTAGGCTAGAAGGCAATACTTAGAGGAGTACTAGTAAAAGAGGATGTACTTAAATATATCTTCTATAATCTTCCCTAGGAGCTACTATAACTAGAGCTCTAGAGGATTAACTACCCTAATATAGCTAATTATCTACTAGTATTAAGGGAGTTTAAGAAGAAGGACATAGTTACCTATAGTATTATCTATAGCCGGCTAGATAAAAAGCTTAGGCCTAATTTCGGAAGTACTAAGAAAACAGCATAGGAGCTATTTAAAACAATCCTTGCTATATATTAACTAGTCGTTACTATAGACATCTATAACACTCTTAGGCAGATTAGAAGCATTAAATTAACGGGTAATAACACCCTAAAGTACTATAAAGACTTCTAAAAGTAGATATATTAGTATAGGATAGCTACTAAGTAATATACTAGAGCTAACCGTATTCCTAATATATAGGAGGGACTTATATTCCTACCTCTTATTATAAATATACTATTTATTATAGATCTAAACTACATTAAGTAGCTTAGAAGCTAGCGATATACTAATAAACCCTAGCTAGTAACATTAGAGGATATAATTACCTCTCTTAGACGTAAGAAACCTCTAGTATTAAGCTACTAGCCTAATCCTTCCTAGAAACGAGTTGTAGGAGGAGTAATAGCAGATATTAAAGATAATAATAAGAAATGCACTTAGTGCAAATATAACTACACTAATGCAGAATATTATAAGTAACACTCTAATAGGGCACTATCGTCCTAGAAAGCTAGAAAGCCTAATAATAATAAGAAGAAGCAGTCCTAGAAGAAAAAACAGTAGAGAAGAGCTAATACTATAGTAGCTTAAGACTTATCTAGGTCCCTATTAGACTTAGATTCTAATAGCTTAATAAGCTGCAGTGTCGTAATAGCTGCATCTTTAACAAAGCCTATTAATAGCTATATTAATATATAGGACTCTAGGATAGCATATTACTTCTTTAATAATAAAGCATAGTTTAAAGATCTCTATAAGAAAAAGAAACTAGTAGAGTTCTCCTAGGCTATTAGGAAGAACAGAGTTACGCATTTAGGAATAGTAACTCTCTAGCTAAAAGGCCCTAAAGGTCTTAAAACATAGCTAGAACTAAAGGGAGCTTTATACTCCCTAGGCTCTAATATAAACCTTATCTCTATAGAGCGGATCCTAGAGAAGTTTAGCATTATATATAATACTAGGACTAGAACTATCCTAGATAAGGATAACAAGCCTATTAGGAAGCTTTAAAAGCTCTATAGAGTGCTTGTTCTAAAAGATGTAAAGATCCTTATCCTAGAGGGCTAATAGCCCCCCCTATTTAGAAAGACTATAGTTAGAAAAACTGTAGTAGTAGCTTTTATAAAGCTAAAGGCTAATATAGAGCGTTAGTATTAGAGATTTAGCTATATTAGAGCCTTAATCCTTAACGCTATAAAGCTTAAGGTAACTAGACTAGAGAGTATTAACATAGATATAATAAGTTACTATAAAACATGCAAGCTCTTAAGATCCTAGCGAGTTATATTAAGGCATCTAAGACCTACAGCGGCTAGAGCACTTAATAAAGTTTATATAGATATAGTAGGACTAATTAGCCTACTAGACATCTATAGGAACAGGTATTTCCTACTATATATAGACGCTAAGACCCGCTATAGATAGGTGTTTCTTCTTAGACTAAAGAGTAATAGCCCTAAGATTACTAGGATCTTTATCTAGAGAGTATAAAATGTATATAGAAAGATCCCTAAGCTTATATTTATAAATAGGGGTAGTGAATTTATTAACAACCTTACTACTAAGATAGCTAAGGCTACTAGACTTAGGTAGGATATATTAGTACTATACATACCTAAATAGAATAGTGTTGCTAAATCCTCTAATAAGGTTGTCCTTACTAAAGGTAGGGCAATAGTTATTAATGCTAGAGCCCCCTAGGACATATAGTGCTATACACTAAAATACTTAGTATATATTACAAACCGGCTTATAAATCTTAGTACTAAAAACATCCCTATTCTTCACCTTTAGCAAGATCTTAATGTCTCTTAGGAAACCTCCCTAGATCTGTCCTATATAAGAAGATTTAGCTGCAAAGCCTATATCTATAATAACAACCGCTAGATCTTAGCAAAGTTTGCCCTAAGGGCTGAAATCTTTTAGTTTATAGGATTTTAAGAGCATTTATCTATAAACTACCTCCTCTAGCGCCCTATGCTTAACTATAGAGGAGCATAGAAGCACTAGGTTATTTTTACACCGCATATAACTTTTAATAAGAACTAGGTATATGCAGACATAGTTAGAAGTTATTATACCCCTAAGTCTTAGGGGGAGCCTTTCTATATAAGCCCTATAGGTTTTATAACTCCACCTACTAGGCTAGAAGCCTATATAGTGCCCGTTACTAAGCTAGAAGCTTAGGCAACTAACCCTAAGCTAGAAGCTTAAGTAGTATTTAAGCTAGAAGCTTATACCCCGGCTACTAGGCAAGAAGCCTAGGTACAGCCTATCCCTAAGTATTACCCTTAGGCAATTATCCTAGAAACTAAGTATTAATCTTAGGATCTACCTCTAGCAACATCCTAGGAGCAAGAAGCTCCTTAAGGATAATAGCCTACTAAGCTATCTCCTACAGAGATTCGGGGGAGATTATAGTCCTAGAGCTCTCCTAGTAGTAGCCCTAAGGATTAGGGGGAGTTCCTCTAAGGCTCTCCCTAGAATAGTGCCTCTACTAAGGAAGATATTAATATACTTATAGAGCTATTTATGCTACCTTAGATAACTAGTAAAAGAAAGAGGGACCTATTACCCCCTATAGCCTCTTAAATACGATTAGAAAGGTCTATAATTAGGCATAACTACAAAAAGCTACATACTAGGGGAGTAGTTATTACTAAGCCCTAGTCTATATTAGAGGCATTATAACATCTAAAGTGGAGAAAGGCAATATCTAAGGAAGTTAAATCCCTAGAATCTACTAGCACAATCGAGTAGAAAAGGATTAGTAACCTACCTAAGGGAAGAATTCCCCTTAAAGCAAAATAGGTGTACAAGCTAAAGAAGCTTGCTAACGGTACTATTAAGAAGTACAAAGCTAGATAGACTACTAAAGGATACTCCTAGAAGATAGGAGTTAATTATATTTAAACCTTTATACTAACCCTAAGAGCTATAACTAGGAGAATCCTCCTAGCATTAGCTACACAATATTACTAGAAAAGATCTTAGATTAATATCGAGATAGCCTTCCTAAACCTTATAATAGATAGGGAGATCTAGATGTATCTACTAGAAGGGATTAAGTATCTAGATATAGGAAAGAAAGATCCTAAGAAGTTTCTAATCCGTGTTAGAAAGGGACTCTATAGGCTAAAGTAGGCTGCATCTCTATAGTATTATAATGTAGTCGTAATACTTCGGGATATAGGTCTTAAAAGGACTTACTTAGATATATGCCTATTTATAGGATATAGAGCCCTTATTCTTATACATATTAATAACTTTTAGATCCTTAGTTAGACTTAGAGCAATATCGACTAGGTAATTAAGGGACTAAAGAAAAAATATAGTATTAAGCTTGTTAATACTAACCTTTTCCTAGGATTGCATATCTAGCAATTAGAAATAACTACTATAGTATTATAGTAGTATTATAGCCGTAAGAAGCTAGAGGGCTATAGGCTATTAAATATTAAGCTAGTAAAGTTCCTACTAGAAAGATTACTATCCCTATCTAAGAAGAGCTATATAAAGGAACAATATAATCTCTTTAATAAGATTATTAGGGAGCTTTAGCATCTCTCT